GATCCTAAATTTCTACTACCCTAATGTATATATCTATCACTTTGGTACAAATCTTCTCTTCTCAGTCTTATAGTAATGTCTTCTACATTTTATCTTAGTATTTTTGTTCAAAGATTTAGAAAACAATTTTTTAGAATTATCCACATGGAGAGACTAGGTTCCTTTCTTGAACCTTTCCAAACATATTTTAGCATCTGACATGTCAAACTCACTAGATTTTGCATTCTCAGTTAGTCATTTCAAAAAATTTCTTATGGATTATTCCTTGTTACACCTTTATTAATCAGTTCTAACACCTTAACTTACCCATCAACGTTGGACGAACGATGTCGGAGTCTCAGTCTACAAGTACACTTTGTAACTTTTGGAGGCATGTAGTACTTGACCAGGTTATCCTAGAATCGGATAAGTTCTAGCTCTGATATTACTAAATGTAACACCCATATCCTATAGATTTGAGTGTCACACGGAATCACAAAAGTGACTAACCATTTTTTTTAAACCATGATCACTTTTTAAATATTTACACAATGTATGAAACCATAACAATTTACAAAAGTGGTCCCAAATTTAAAAGATCGATAAATAAAATAAATAATTAAAATATTACAAGTCAACTCATTTTTAAATCATGACCTCTACATGCCCACTAAGTCGTCATCAATGTACTCTAGTTCTTCATTGAGACTCCTCTGATGATATCATTTTTCTATTGCACTTCACGAAACATGTAACCTGCGAACGGAAACACAATCCAGACGCTGAGCTCACAAGGCCTGAGCCATACAATACCTCTATTATACTACATGGATTCATAAAATAAGCACGCTAACAAGTGCAATTAGATAAGCAATACCACTATGCCATCATTGCTACTAAATCGTCTATTCAAGGTACATCCACTATCACGAGGGTCTGAGTCCCATGCTTCCCTTAGTCTATTATAAAGGGCCACACTATGAGTATTTTATATTGTGTCTCTAACCTCAGTATCATAGTACAATGTATCACCATACAACACACAATGATAGTACCCGATATCATAGAGATACCAAGTACAATCATACAATAATAAGTAAGCATCGTGGTATAGCTCGGGATCACATAGCGTGAAAAAACTCAACCCCTATTTTCTTATGAGAGATACCATGGGTAAGACCTGGGTCACATAGCATCAGCATCTTAATGTATCATCGATGAGGTTCAAGTCACACATCTCGGCACCTCTTACATACCTTGAGCTAAGTCCAGGTCACATAGCATTAGAATGACATCCAATTAGCGCTTAAACTGCTTTTGCATTGACGTGGATATATTTGGATATTTCCCTAACACTTGGATGATCGTCACTCACACACACAAATAACTTGAGCGTCCTCATCATTTTTCAAGTGTCAAACAAAGGAATAAGTCTTATGAAATCTTACCTCATAAGGTTCTTATGATTATCACGCAATTTATTCAATGTTTTCACTTGTAAGCTTTATTGAGAAGTTTCGAAAATCCTAGTCCTCTTCCAAAGTCCTTAAACTAAATCGAGGCTTCTAGCCTATTTTAGTCTGATGGTATCGATACTAAGCATTTTAGTATCAGTATCGATCTTTGTGTATCGGTACCCACCCATGGTACTGGTACCAAATCTAGCTACTAAAATTTATGACTTAACGATGTTATCGATACTTGACAATAGTATTTATACTCTATGAATAGAGTATCGATACTACCCATCCAAAAACCTTAATATTAGTTATTTATATTATTCTTATTGGGTCTTCATAAATAAGCTCTCGTTATACAATTGAACGTCGCATATAATTATTATCACGACGCTACCTCATCATTATTTTTTACAATATATACAGACTCCTCCATTGAGTCTTAATTCATTACCTAGTTACTTAGTAATTTAACTCTCTCTATCATAGGTTATTTCATTCACTTAGGCCCATAAAGGTAATTTGATAATTGCATTCCCTAAGGGTATTTTAGTAATATAACCTTAAATCTAAATGCCCGATCTCGAATCAATATTAAAATTATTACTCTCGAGTCTATTTGACATCTTAAAGGTCACTCGACCACTTTGGGTATTGATACCAAGCCTTCAATATGGATACCAGTTCATCCGATATGGATACCAATTTATCTGGTATGGATATCAGCCTACCAGTATCTATACCAAGCATTCAGTATCCATATTGAGCTTCCAGTATCGATACTACAACCCTCAATATCGATACCAAGGAACAAATATCGATACTAGTCTATCCAATATCAATATTGAAACCCAAAAAACCTCATTTTCTCCCAGAATATGAACAATATCAATACAAGTTCATCCAGTATCGATATTATTGCCCAGAAACACACTATTTTACTCAGGAAACACCCTCAAACTCACCCTAAACACTTGCCTTAAGGTATAAGTTTGTTATTAAAGCTTATGAAGGTTACTACGGGCCATTATACATTATTTTTACACTCATTCAACATAAAAAAACCTCTATAATATCAAATCAAGTGCCTCAACTCCCACCTGCTTCAACATTCCCATACAAGTAAAATAAGCTAAATGTTATGCACTACAAGTAGTAAGGAAGAGTTATATTGTGTTAAGTCGTGTTAACTCAACTCTTAACTATCTAAATACCTTTCTAGTTTCTCTAAAAACCAACCTTGCCAATTCCTTCCTCTTTGGGGGTCTTGCACCACCCAAAAGCCACCAAATGATTCTAACATGAAAAAGGAGGAGGATAGATGTTAAAAAATGACTATAACATATGAAAATCGGTTAGAACCCACAAAATGAGCCTTTGGAACTCAAGCCCTCCCAAAATCTCATGAAAGCTCAAGAACACCATTTATGGAGATGGTGAGTTTCTTAAGAAACTCAAGAACTCTAAATTAAGAATCTTACCTCTAGATTTTTGGATTATAGAAGGAGATGAAGAAAGGTTGAAGCTTTTCTCTTGTTCTTGCTTAGGTGGAGATAAAGAGAATAAGAAATAAAGAGAATGAAGAAGAGAATATGAATAATGAAAGAAGAACATTTTTTTTCTCTTCCAAAAGCCCCACATCTATAAGAATAAATAATCCCCATAAATCAGCCATGCTTTTCCTAAATGGGTAAATCACACTCTAGATCCTCATGTATTCTTTCTAAGCTTAAAAATCTCCCTTTGATCTCTAATAAAACCAATTTCTTGCTTGATTAAACCCAATTTTAAACTGATGGACCTCTTTGCTATAATAAATCTATTAAATAAACTTTGAGTTGGCACAAAACTACTACACTAATATTTGGGGCGTTACACCGAGTCTCATCCAATGTATCAATGTTAGTAGACCGGAGGAATGTGAGTTACAAAGACTATGTGATGTCGGGTAACATCATGACGTCTACTTGTATGTTGTGGATTGATTGCATTGATGATATTACTTCTCTAGCTATACTTGCTGACATGTTTATTTGACGAATACATGTAGTATGATAGAGTTATTTATGTGATGTTGAACTAGTCAATTCAACGTTCGAAATGTGTTTTTATTCACTTTTTCTTAGGTAGAAATCGAGGAGCATATCGTCGAGACGGAGATTCCAGTCACTTTTTGATTATAGCACGTCTTGATTCATTCGTAGAGGATGTGTATCCTCATTAAATTCATGTTTATTTTAATCATAAATTTACTTTTGTAAAACTTATTATTAATACTCAGTTTATAATATTTTAATTTTCAAACTTAACTACTACATATTTATGTTGATTAGGATGATTGGATGGATGGCCCTTGTTCCCATATGTAATGGGGTAAGGGGGAGGTAAGATAGTAGGCTGCCCCCAACACTAGGTTGAGAGCAGCTTCCGTGAGAAACCTCCAAATTATGAAATGCCCTCCATAGGACTCGATCCCACGACCTCAAGGTTGATTAGGATGATTATAACTTATTATTTGAATAAATAATTTAAAAAATAATTAATCATTTTGATAATTTCGTGTGACAGTAAAATTTTTAATTCTGAATCAGTTTGAATTAGGATGTTATAATTTCATAAACGCATCTTCTAAAAAGAAATAAATTTTAAATTAATTGTGCTGTTGAAAAACTATGCGTAGGCGTAGCATATTTGGGATAACATGTCATCCCTAAAGAACTAATCCGAAAGCAGAGTTTTGACATGCCTTTCCACGTATGGCAAAGGCATTGCGAACAAGGAGCGCTCGAAGGCGTAACTAGTTAGATGTACTTTCATCCTCTACAATCGGAAATCAATGTTATTTGGCTGTCATTTAAGTTTAAAATATATATATATATATATATATCTCAACGGCTGAACCTTTAAAAGAATTATACGATGTAGTCATGTCAAAAATGAAGTCATGGTGCAATGGCTCGTGTGCTCGCTACTAATCAGAATGTAAGAAATGTCAATTCCTGGCAGCATTTTGGGATAAGAATAGTTCCTTATGGCACAATACAACCCTTTCTTATTTCCAGAACTACCTTTAAAATGGGGCAACTTTAAGTTTAGTCCTTCAACAAACACAGATTTGGCTCCCAACTTTATAAATTACAATTTAATCCTTAAAACTTTGAATTTCTTTCAACTGAACCTATATTTTCAAAATAAAACACTTCTAATATCATGTTAATTTATACGAGATTTCTAAGCCGAACTTCAAGGTTTTACAGCATCTAAGGCAAGTGCGTGGCCAAACTAGGTCAAAAAAGTTTAAGGACTAAATAAGTACCCAAGGATAAGTTCAAGAATGGAATGGGTTAAGAAAATAATAGATTGGTGATTAAATAATTATATATGAACTTCATAATTTTAGACATAGGCAATTGCTCCTCTTGCCCATGCTCAAATTACGAGCGTGACGTTACACAACGAAGCGTTGTGCATGTGATATTTTAGAAACCTGAAAAGATACTTATGTTTTGTATCTCTATATTTTTCTGCTTTGCTTGTAAAGATAAAATTCTTACCTTAATCGATTCAAGGATCTAATGATAATGGATGTTCAAATTTATTGATACAAACATAGCTTAGCTGAGCAAAATCAAATATAAATACACATTCCCCAGTCATTACACATCTTCGTTTGCGGTAAATATCGTAAGCAAAGCATCAACTTGATTATAAAGGCAACTTCCATGCTTCGGATTATTTCCAAGACATTATTTCACTGAAAAAAGAAAAGGAATTTTACGTCAATTTCACCAATTCTCTAGGAAGCCAACAAAAAACTGACAAAGCAACAAACAATACTCACCGAAGCAATTGAGTTAAGCTAAGAGCAAGAGCAGAATTGCCTTCTTCTCGTGCCTTCATGATCCTGAACATGAGCAGCAACCGGGTTTGAATGTCAGCAGACACTTGGGTTTTTTGCTTATCTTCTCTGCTTAGCTGCTGTTCTTCTTCCACTTCTTCAAATCTTTCTCGAACTTGCCTGTAACATTCCTTGATAACTTCGTGTTCTTTACTAATCTCTTCCATCTCAGTTCTCAACTTTTTAGACCTATTCCTCCTAGGTTTTTTTGCAATCCCTCTCTGTGAATATTTAGTAGTTAGAAACAAGGAAAGCACTAAGCAGCTCCTGAAAGAATGATTAATATACATACATACGTACATACCTTAAACTTGAGGAAACCACGTACGGTTTTTAGCACTGACCTCCGACGCAGTTGCAGTTTCCTACCTCGATTTGGGGTATTCGAACCAGCTGAACTCCTCTGAGAGGGTTGGAGCTCACAATCTCGATTTGGGGCATTCGAACCCACTGAATTCTTCTGAGAGGATTGGAGTTCACGACCTTGATTTGGGGCATTCGAACCCACTGAACTCCTCTGAGAGGGTTGGAGTTGGGCATTCGAACCCACTGAACTCATTTGATGATGCCTGCAAATGGAAACACAGGGGATAAATATGTGGAGTTATCATCACTCCAGGTGAGGGAAAAAATGATAGAATTGCCCTAGATTGTTACTTCACCGAGTTTTTCTCCCTCCCTCCTATTTCTTTCTCATTATCAAACCTATAAATTCGCATATTTACAAAGTACTTGGCAGTTTGGAGCCAGATCAACAGTCTGCTCATTATTAAGCTAAGATTCGTCGTACAAGTTTATGATTATAGAAATTCACGTTCAAATATATTTTTCTTTTTCCTAATACTATAAAAAAATTCAAATTCAAGCCGCTTTAGATCCTTTTTATTCATAATTAATTCAGAATATAAAGAAAAATATTAGATCAGACAGTATTTGAAGGCGTGAAGGTTAAATTGCATAATAGGTGGTTTGTCTTTTATTTTTAAGAAAAAATATAGACTGTCGGTACATCAAAATCTTGTTCCAAACTTGGAAGAAAAAAAACTTAAAAGAAGAAGCAGAAGAAGTACCTTAGATTTACCAGCGATGAGCTTGCTTCTGAGGTTTCGATCTTAAATTGCGAGAGGCGACATTGAGAAGAAAACCTAGGATTAATATATCATTACTTATTAAATTAAGAGTAAAGTATAGTAATGGTCATTGAAGTTTTCTAAAGCTTTCATTTAAATCCTTCAACTTTTAAAACTTGCAATACAGTCCCCTAACATTTAGTCTGTTTGCAATATGGTTCCCCAACATTTAGTCTGTTTGCAATATGGTCTCCGACCGTTTGACGCTGTTACACTGTCGTTAGTACGTTTGCAATATGGTCATTGAACTTTTCAGGCGCTTGCATTTAGATCCCTCAACTTTTAAAACTTGCAACATAATTTTAAATTTCATTCTAAACCCCAAATTCCTTTTCAATCTCGAGTTTCCTTTTTCGCTTCTCTCTTCTTATTTCTAGCGTAACTTTTTCAGTCGGGGATGCATGAGAAATTCTAATATAACTTTGAATTATATAGAGGTGTTGACTTGAATAAGGGTCCATTGAGAGAAGATTCGACCAAGGGACTATCGGGACCATCAACAATTCAAGGTGTAATGTTAGATACAGGTCATCTCAGGTGAAACATAGATGTTCGATGAAATGTTTGTGAAAAAAAATTGGGTTAGAAATGCAGAGTTGACAAATACTACTAAGATGAACTAAGTATCATTATTGAAAGTCACCAACAAAGCTTGAATTATTTTGTATAAATGGCATATAATAATTTATTCGTTTAATCCTTGTGCTTAAAGATTTTCCAACAGATGGTCAAATATAATGAAATCTCGAATAGCGCATTCACCTCTCGTTTGATTTTTGTTCTTCAATTTTCCGCCATGTGAAATTGTAAACCCAAGCAGTGCTCTGTCTTTCAGCTTTTTATTTACAAAGAAAAAATGAAGGAAGAATTGCTAGAACGCAACATCGATTGTGTTTATTTCTTAGTCTCTCCCCTCACTTGCAAGAAGGTATTTATTTTTTCTTTTGGGCTATCCGGAAGTAAGCTTTTCTTCTTTTGTACTTTCCCATTTTCAGCTCGCATTGTGTGTTTTTTGTTGAATTTTTTATGTTTTTGGAACTGCATGTCAATGATCTGGCTATTCAGTGTTAGTTTTGAACCAAAACCATATAATTTTCTTTCTTTATTCTTAATCAAAACTTTTAGTACTCCTTATGAAAGATATCCAGTCCATCAGAATAGAAGTTAAATAGGGTCCTAGGCTAATTTTTTTATCTTCTTGTTTGGTTTTTCTTTAAATCAGGGAATTGGTTATGGGTATCAACATAGTGAAATCACCATGCTCAATCCGAGAGACTACTGGTACTAGTTTACTAGGAATTGTATTGATCTGACATGTGGTTTTCGGCGTCCTGTGAGCTCGTATTCTTTTTAATAAGTTCATGTTGATTATGGGACTGATATAAATTATTTTTTTTACATGTTTTGGAAATTTTACAATTGAATTATATTGAATTATAGCTTTAGAAGACAATTATGCATGCACACAACTTGAAAGGTATCATGACATGGTAGTATATTTGGAGCAACTACTTGACCCTGTCATGATGCCTTTCGAGTTATGAAAGAGACTGAGAGGTGAATGCGCTGTTTGGGATTTCATTATATTTGATAATCTGTTGGAAAATCTTTAAGCACAATGATTAAACGAAGAAATTATTATATCTCATTTATACAAAATAATTCCAACTTTGTTAGTGACTTTCAACAATGATACTTAGTTCATCTTAGTAGTATTTTTCAACTTTGCATTTCTAACACCATTTGTTTCTCACAAGCATTTCATCGAACATCTATGCTTCACCTGAGATAACCTGTATCTAACATTACACCTTGAATCATTGATGGTTCTGATAGTCCATTTGTTGGGCCTTCTCTCAATGTGCCCTTATTCAAGTCAACACCTCCACATAATTCAAAGTTAGATTAGAATTTCTCATGCATCCCTGACTGAAACGTTATGCTGGAAATGAGAAGAAAGAAGCGAAAAAAGAAATTCGAGATCTAAAAAAATTTGGGGTTTATAATGAAATTTAGGATTGTGTTGCAAGTTTTAAAAGTTGGTGACCTAAATGGAAGCGCTTAAAAAGTTCAGTGATCATATTGCAAACGTACTAACGATAGTGTAACGGTGTCAAACGGTCGGGGACCATATTGCAAACAGACTAAATGTTGGGGGATCATATTACAAACGAACTAAATGTTGGGGGATTGTATTGCAAGTTTTAAAAGTTGAGGGACCTAAATGAAAGCTTTAGAAAAGTTCAATGACCATTATTATACTTTACCCTTAAATTAATGGGTAAATGACTAATATATCATTACTTATTGGGTAACGACTTATTTAGTCATTTATCTATTACTTTTTTTCTATTTACTCAGTAATCTTATGACATTTTATAATATAATTTCTTAAATAAATCTAATGTTTTTTTGGATAATACAATGGTGACACGTGTCATCATCATCCTATTTGGCATAATCGACCTTTTGGAGGAAGTCGACTCGACTAGTTACGACGATGAGTTTTTTGAAAAGATTTAGTGAAATGATGAGAGTCGTCACCAATCATTTTTAAGGTGAGATTGAAACACTTAAAAATAGGTAATTTAGAAAAACATTTTATTTTACTAAAAATACCAGTGTTTTAGTTTGTGAAATCAGAAAACGGATTTGTGAGTCAATTACGCGAGGGGATTATCACCCCACAACACCCAAAAATTGGTACATAGTTGATTACTTTATGTTTTAAAATTGAAAATTAAAAATTTTAAGTTTTAAGTTTTATTTAATTTAAAACTCATTATGTATGCATATTTTAAAAAGAGTATCTATTTATTAGGACCGATAATGAATACCTCGAGCATAAGCGAAAGTTTTGTCATTAATCCCAATAAATAAACATTGTCCTAATAATTTTAAAATCATGATAACATATTTTGAAAAGAACGCCGATTTACTTCGAGAATTACTAGTGATCACCTTGGGGCATAATGTTAAATATACATGATTAATTCCCTAATAAATGAATATTGTATTATTTTAAAATCAAAATATGCAATCAAACAACCAATTATTGAACCTAATTACACTAGGTGAATTAATTAAGACTTCTCTCTAATTAAAGTGTCAAATTATGAATTTCAAAGAAACTTAAGGGTTAAACCTAAAAATGAAGGTTCTAATATTAATCCTAATCAATTTTAGCAAATTTTTAAATCAAATAATCAAAACTAAACCTCGGGCAAAAGTGAGGACAAAATTGAAAATTCTCCTCAATTACAGTACTAACATGAAAATTAAACCTAAATGGAGGCTCTAATGTTAAAACCTAATCAATATTAGTCAATTATTAAATCAAATAACCAAAATATAACCTCGGGCAAAAGCGATGACCAAATCAAAAACTCTTACAAATTAAAGGACTAAAGTGAAATTAATGTAAAATGGAGGCTCTAATATTACAAATTAATCGAATTTTAGCTAATTATTGAATCGAATAACCAAAAATGGAACCTCGGGTAAAATCAAGGACTAAATCGAATATACACCAAAGTTAAAAAGTTTAGGAACCAATTTTAAGAAAAACCTAAATTTAAGGCCTAAACCTAAAACAACTAAGCAATTAAACCATAACTTAATCTAAAATTACTAAAATATAGATTAATGAAAGGAATGTATTGAAGTAAGTTAAAGCACACAACTGAAATTAAATATATCAAGTAAAAGGACTAAAATAAAAAGAAAATAGAAAGTATGGTAGAAATTAAATATTAGAAATTTAAAGGGCTGAAATGAAAAACCATGGAAATTAAATAGCATAAATTAAAAATATAGAAAATTAAAGGACAAAAATGTAATTAATAGAAGTTAAAATCGAACAAAATTAAAGGTTAGAGGGTTTTTTTTATATATTTTACCCAGACCGTAATAACGCGAGTCATACCTTGGGACGAGCCATCGTGAGATCGTAAAATTAGTTCAAAAATTTAAAAGGTCAGTGTACTAGCAACTAAATATTAAAATTTTACCTAGACCATATAACGCGGCACATACCCCAAGATGGGTCCTCGCGAAGTTGTATGACTAATTTGATACAAGAATTTAAAAGTTAGTAATTAGCAAACTAATAATTAACAATTAAAATTAAAATTTTGTCCATAGTATAATAATGCAGGTCACACTCTAGTACGGGTCACCGTAAGGTCAAATTGAATATTTAAGCAGCAATTAAACAAACAATGATAAAAATATAAAATTGCGTAATCAACACCTCCAATTCAAAATCAAATAAATAAATATATAGTGACCAAAAGGTAATATGCGCTTAAACTAAGGGGGCTTAAAGACAATTTCCTCTTTTTTAACTCTAGTAATTTTTTAAAAAGATGAAAATTAACTAGATTTGGACATGGAAGTTGAAATAAATAAAAAACATATGATAAGTAACTGGAATGTAAAAATATGGCTAAAGTTTAGGGATCTAAATGCTATTTTTCCTTTTTTCAATCCTATAAAACTTATTTTTTTACCAAAAATGGTCATTCTAGCAACAAAAAAAATAATTCCTTTTTTTTTATTTCTGTCAAATTCTCCCTTTCTTATTTTCAATTGAGAACCCACAACCTTACAATCATCACCGACCACCATACATTGGTGGCCACATCTTACTTGTAATGCCCTGAATCCCTATTTAGTAGTTTTGGGTTAATCCGAGTGTGCCTTAAAATAAAGACATTAGTCTTGTAAGGAATCTTAACCCAAATAAGTGTTGGATTGGGCTTGTTTGAGGCTAAACATGAGTAACAAGGGGTATTTTTAATCTAGAGTTAAAAGAAGAAAGACTAGGAAAGCAATCACTCCCATAAACTTTTGAAAGGCTAAATTTTCTTTAATTTTTGGTGAGGTCACGCTTGATGCCTCTTTTTCCTCTCCATCTTTTTGTCATTTTTTCTCTCAAACACCCCATCTTCTCTCTTCATTCTTCCTTCAAGTTGGGATTACAAAAGGTGGGGA